ATGAATTTCAATAAAAAATAATGTAGTGTCACATTAATATAGTATTTTTCTTTAAGGCTTGTGGGTTTTTCTCTTTGTTCATTTAATTATTTTTTTCAGTGCTGGGTTTGAGCCGCGCCCCCAGCCCCAGGATAGGTGTTTTTTTGTGTTTTTTAACATATCCTTCACTGCAGAACGATGAAGGCATTTTCCTATATTATTTTGCAAACATTTTTCAATAGTGCTTTTCTCACTTAGGTCTTTAATCCACCTGGAATTTATGTGTGTATGAGTGTGTGTCTGTGTGTGGGAGGGAGGGCGGGGAGGAGCGGAGAGAAAGAGAGATATGCATGGGTCTATTTTGGGGCTTTCAATTTTCATCTTATGTCCTTTTTTTTTTTTTTTTTTGATGATGATGCTGGGGATTGAACCCAGGGCCTTGTGCGTGCAAGGCAAGCACTCTACCAACTGAGCTACGTCCCCAGCCTCAACCTATGTCTTATGGCTTTCTAGTGGGTCTTGATGTCTGGGCGTTAAGTTCACCTTATATTGTGGTTTGGAGACAAGGTGTCCCTGAAAGGTTCCTGTTAATGCAGGACTATTCAGAGTGAGTGGATTGGGCTGTGACAGCTGTAACCTCATCAGTCCATCCACGTTGGAATGAACACAAAAGGTGGTGACTTTGGCAGGTAGGGTGTGGCTGGGAGAGGTGGGTGCCTGAGGGCCACCCTGGAAGGGTCCATCTTTCCTGCAGCCCCTTCCCTTTGCCCTCTGCTTCCTGGCTGCTCTGAATGGAGCCAGGCTCCTCCACCAACCCTTCCGCCATGATGATCTGCCCCACCTCGGGCCCAGAGCAATGAACTCTGCCCACCATGGACACAGCCTCTGAAACTGTGAGCCCCAAATAAACTTCTCCTCCTTTAGGCTGTTCTTGTCAGATACTTGGGGTCACAGCAATGAAAATGTGATTCCCACACTCTGCCTTGTCCGTTTCTTCCATGTCGTCTTGCCTGTGCCTGGGTCTTTGGTTCGTTCATGTGATTTTAGGATCAGTTTATCAAAGTTTATTTCAACTCCTGTTCTTTCCTATTTTAATTGAATTGCATCCAAGAGAATCTTCATCTTTACCATATGGATTCTTTTTACCCTTGCACATGACAAATAAATCCTTCCATTTCTTAAGGGTTTTTTTTTTTTTTTTTTTCAGTGCTAGGGATTGAACCCAGGATCCTGGGTATGGGAAGTACAGGTTCCACCACTGAGCTGCATCCCCAGCCCTCATTTCTTGTTTCAGTTCTTTTTTTTTAAATGTTACTTAACAGTGCAACATAAAACGACTTAATCAATAGTCCCAGTGACACAAAATAACGATTTTCTTCTCAATGTTTTATTTTGCTATTATGATTATACTTTTAATTTAATTAATAACGTTGTAGAGGGCTGGGGCTGGGGCTCAGTGGTAGAGCGCTCACTTAGCATGTGTGAGTCTCTGGGTTCAATCCTCAGCACCACATAAACATAAATAAATAAATAAATAAGGGTATTGTGTCCAACTACAACTAAAAAAATAAAAATGTTTTAAAAAAAATAATGTAGGGAAATCCTACTATTTTTTATGTTTATCTTGTTTCCAAAACTTTGCTCTTATTCATTTTTATCAGCCTCTCTGTGGATTTGCTTGCATTTTTATGTAGGAAAAATAGACTGTCTGGAAAAGAAAGTTTTGTTTCACGTTTCAATTCTTATTCCTCTTTTATTTTTTCTTTTCTAATGAGGCCCAGAAATGGGAATAGCAGGCATTATTGTTTCGTCCCCAACTTTAATGGGGATGCTACTGGAAGTTCAGCTGTGGAGATAATATTTGCCGTATTTTATAGTTTTTCTCTGGAAAGTTGAGGAAATGTACTCCTTTTCTTATTTTGCTAACAAAAAAAATATATAGACATATGACTGCTAATTTCTTAAAAAACCTTTTCTGTATTCATTGAAATAACCAAATAACTTTATGCATATTTATGAAAATGTAATATCTATAGATTTTCTGCCTTTGGGCCATATTCCAGTTTGAGAACCAATCCCATTTTTTGTGTGTGTGTGTGTGTGTGTGTGTGTGTGTTTCAGCACTGGAAATTGCACCCATTGCCTTACACAGGTGAAGCAAGCAAGCACTCTACCATTGAGCTATATTCCGAGTCCTGATGTGTTTTTATTTTAATCTAGTTTGGTATTAAGATCATATTATCCTCATGAAATGAGCTCTAAAGTGATTTTTATAAAATAAGGATCTGGGTCTATTTGGATCTGTTGCTTTTGGAGGACTAGGGAGGGAAATAAACTTCGATAGTAATTCAGTTTGGGTAATGGTTATTGATTTTCTTTTTATTTCTTAAATATATTTTGGTAGTTTTTTTTTTTTTGAGAGAGTGAGAGAGGAGAGAGAGAGAGAGAGAATTTTTAATATTTATTTTTTAGTTCTTGGCGGACACAACATCTTTGTTGGTATGTGGTGCTGAGGATCGAACCCGGGCCGCACGCATGCCAGGTGAGCGCGCTACCGCTTGAGCCACATCCCCAGCCCTATTTTGGTAGTTTTTTTAAAAAAATAGAATGTTACTCATGTCAATTGAGTTTTAAACATCTTGCTGTGTTCTGTATTTTGTCTCATTTTGTTAATTTATATTTGACACAGGGTCTCTCCATGTTGCCTAGGTTGGATTTGAACTCATGATCCTCCAGCCTCAGCCCCCAAGTAGCTTGGAAGATAGGAGTGGGCCACTGCACTCAGCTTCCATTCTCAATACTACTCATGAGTATCAATTTTTTTTTTTTTTTTTGGTAGCAGGGATTGAACCCAGGGGCACTCAACCACTGAGCCACACCCCCAGCCCTATTTTAGAATTTTCAGGATCTCACTGAGTTGCTTAATGACTCATGGGGCTGGCTTTGAACTAGGGATCCTCTTGCCTCCGTCTCCTGAGCTGCTGGGATTACAGGCATGTACCATGGCACCCGGCTACAAGTATCTATTTTAAAGTCAGTCTTGGGAGGGTTTTCAACTGAAGAAATCAGCTTTTGATCTTGTTGATTTTTCTTCATTGCTTCTTGGTTTTCTATTTCCTTAATTTATTCTCTTCTCATCACTTTTTCTTACTTAGGTTTCATCTGTTCTTTTTAAATGAGGTCTTTTGAGTCGAAAACTTAACCCGTTTTAGTTTTACATTTCTAAAACCATTTTAGTCTCACCTTTTTTTTTTAAGGAATGCATTGGTTAGTCATATGCCTCTGTAACAAAATGTCAGAGACAAGAAGTGTATCAAGAGAAAAGGTTTATTTCTGGGTCAGGGTTTCAGAGGTTCCAGTCTTTGATTGGTTGACCTCATTGCTTGGGGCCTGTGACCAGGCAGTGCATCATGTCGAGAGGTATGTGATAGAGCAAAGCTTCTCATTTCATGCCTGGGACTCAAAAATAGAAGAAGAGAAAGGAGTTGGGGTCCTACTGTCCCCTTCAAGAGCAGGTTCCCATTAGGCCAGCCTCCTAGTTTCCACCACCTTCTAATAGCACCAAGCTGGGCACTCCACGCCTTTAACACAAGGGCCTTTGCGGAACATTCCAGATCCAAGCTATAGCAGCATTTAAAGCTGTCTATTTATTTACATCAGCATTTATAAGTTTTGAAGTTGGACACCGTGATCTCCTTGCACCTGTAGTCCCAGCTACTCAGGAGGCCAAGACAGGAGCCCGGAAGTCCCAAGCCAGCCTGGGCAAAATAGCAAGACCCCATTCCTAGAAAAAAAAAAAAAAACTTATAAATTTTGGCATATGATACTCTCATTGTTATCCAGATCTAAATATTTTATGATTTTCTATGTTATTTTCTTTTTTCTCCCTTGAGCGATTTAGAAGGTCATTATCGATAATAACATTTTAAGTAGCTAAGTCATTTTCTTAAAGAACTGGGCCATTTCACACTTCCACAAGCCATATGGATACCAAAATTTGTCCCAGATGACATGTCTAAATGACAACATAGACCAGCAACCCATGTCCTGATACAAAACATCCTAACTGCAGTCTAGGAAGTCAGTTTAATGATGAAGAGGTTAAATCTGGATTCAAATAATCCAGATTCATGGACTGATGATGCCACTCAGTAATTGTGGGAATTTGGTCATATAAACTCTGTGCATCTCAAGTTCCCCCCTATGCAAAACAAGGCTGGCAGAATGCTGTCTCTTTCACAGAGTTATTGGGAAGTGCTTTGCACCCAGGTGCCATTCAGCAAACAGTACTGATTTTTATCAATCCAGCTTTGACTTTATATTTTCTTTTAAATTTATTTTAGATGTTGATGAACCTTTATTTTATTCATTTATTTATATGTGGTGCTGAGAATTGAACCCAGTGCCTCGCACATGCTAGGCAAGCGCTCTGCCACTGAACCACAGCCCCAGCCCCTTACTTTATATTTTCGATGCTGCCATGTTTTGTCAGTAAAACCACCTGCGGGAGTCTGGCAGGTAAAGACCCCGATTCCAAACAGCTTCCTTGTCCTGTGTCCAAAAATGTTTCCATCTATTTCTCTTTCAAGTCCATGCAAATACAGACACAGGAATGAGGAGTCAACACAAACATCCATGTCCCATCTCATATTCAAAGTATGCATACGGATGCAAAAACCCAGAGATTTCCCCGAAAACCCACAGAACCCACAGATCTGGGTCCACACTCACGCTTGTCCACACTCCCTACAAAGATGGATCCATCGCCCACAGATAGAGACGGGCTCACCAATCCCACTCAAAACCTAGCATCCCACTGACAGATCGCGTACCACCCACAGTGCCAGACCCGTGCAGAGCAACACCACCCTCTCCAGAATGACCAGCAGCCTCGTTCTTACTTCTTTGGGGTTGGTTTTATTTTTTGTTGTTCTTCTTAGAGTTTATCATCTGCCCCTCTTTCTCCCTACCCTGCCCCCAAGCTTTCCCCCTAAACCTCCATTGCGCATGTGCTCTGCATCCCTCCCCCCTCCTGGGTACCAGTCGGCGCTCCCGGGCGCTGGCGGCGGAAGAGATGGAGCCGCGTCACGAGCGCCCGGCCCCTTAAAACGCTGCTGCCTGGAGCCGCCTCCCTCCCTGCAACCCGCGGCGGGGATGGAGTAAAGGGGGACCCGTCGACCTGCCCGCGGGGATCAGCGATGGAGTTAAAGCAATCTTTATCCACCCATCTGGAAGCTGAGAAGCCTCTGAGGCGCTATGGGGCGGTGGAGGAGACAGCATGGAAAGCGGAGGGACTGGGGAGAAGTGAGTAATAGGGCAGGGGTGCTGGGGATCCGAGAGCTGGAGCCCGGGGTCGCTGGAACCGGGGTGGCGTGCCAGCAGCTGACCCAGGGACGCGCCCCCCGGGAGGCACCCCCCGCAGCCGGGCTTTCAGCGCAGGGGGATGCGCAGCGCCGCGCCGCGCTCTCCGGGTGAACAAAAGCGGGGATCCTTCAGACTGGGCTTCACCGGGAGGCTGGGGAAATCGCCTGGCAGCTAAGCCAGGAGCCTGGGGTGGACTTGGGAGTCCCAGATCCCTCAGCTGGCATCTCCTCCTGGGAAGGAAGGTCTTTCCTGCAGTCGGAGGAGGAGGGCGCTTCCTCCGCCCGGGGTTGCGTTAGGGCGCTGGGATGCACTAGGGCGCAGGAGCCGGAGGGCCATCCTGGAAAGCGCCCACGTCCCTGGAGAGGGGGGGAGTGTCCGCTGGGTTTCTGCTTGCTTTCACCGGCGCGAGGCTCCCGGCACACCTGAAATCCCCAGCATTTCTTCTTCAGACTACTCCTGAGTCGGAGAGAAGGGGCAAAGGTCAGGGGGAGGCTAACTGATCACACCTCCTCCTTTCTCCCTGGATTCAATTCCAGTCTGGTTTGGGTACAGCCCTAGAAGGCGGTTCTGAAACCAAATGGCTGCGTTTACTGGTTCTCTCTCTCTCTGGGGTGTTTGCAACATTTCCAAATTAAGGAAGGACATTTGTTTCTGATTAATAGTACACAATAGTGGAAACTCCTACTCTCAAAGTGCAGGAGCAGCCTCAGGGCTTCCAGGGTGACCAGCCCTCACTGCCAGCCCCAGGGAGGGCCGGGACTTCCCAGTGTCCCCAGTTGTGGATAGAGACTTGCCCTAGCCCGGGTGCCTCCTGCCAGGCTGAGTAAGGCCCTCTTTGCCTCCTCTGGAACCCTGCAGCTTCCTGAGGCTCTGGGTAACTGTTCAGCGCTCGGCCCTAGCACCCATCCGAGTTATGTTGGACTGAAGTATTGTGTATATGCTCTTCTCCTGTCTTTACCTGGGTGAAAAGTGTGTGTATGTGTGTGTGTGTGTGTGTGTGTGTGTGTGTGTGTTTCTGTAATTACAATGTAAGGAAATCTTCCTAGGGATGGCTCAGCTGTATTCTGATGGGTTCAAGTTGAAATCACAATCACATGTATTAGTTCCTCACCTGCTAGGAGCGATGCACAGTGCTTTGAACCTGTAAAAGAACCTCTTTCCTTTTCTTCTTGGTTTTATGCCCACTCCTTCCTTCTCCTGTTTCATCCTTTCCAAACCCTTTGGTTTTGGTGCTTTGGTGCAACCTCAGGGGTGAGAGTGTCTGTTTCCTACAAGCTCAAAATGATGTCAACAATGGCTGCTCCCCCCAGATTATCATGCCTAAGAACTTTAAAGCATCATCTCATTTAATCTCCACAACAACCTCTTCTGGCATCATGACTTCCCCCTGGCATGGATGAAAACCCTGGAGCTTGTTAGATGACATGATTGTTGAGTAGCAAAGCCAGGGTTTGGACTCATGCTTGGTGGACCCCAGACTCTCAGCATGAAGGTTTATTGTTTTTGCATTTTCAGGAACCTTTTTAAGTCTGTCGAGAGAGTCCCAGGATATGGTCAGTGATTTTATGTGTAGCAGCCCTGTAGGTCTCTGCAGCTCACAGGGGCCTGGAAAGAATGCTGAGTCCATGCAGAGTAGAAGCCCTGGTCTGAATCCTTGTGCTGCCCCTTGCTGACAGTGTGACTTTAGGCACAATTTTAAGCCTCACCTTGCCTCTGTTTTCTGAAAATGGAGATCATACTTAGATCTACCTTATAGCTTCATGTGAATGTTAAATGAGATCGTGTTCGTACAGCTCAAGGGAAGTGTTCGCTACATACTGGTTGCTTCCTTTACTACTAAATCTGTTCAAGGAACTTGCCTTTTTTCTTACCAAGGAATTACATAAAGCAAGACCCTGGGCTACAACAAAAGTGTGGGTCATTTTCCTAATCTCTCTCTCTTACTGCCTTTTATTTTCTGACCATTTTATTTGGGAACATTTCAAGCACATAGGAAAATTGCCACAAGCACCAATTTATGTCATTTTAGCCCCTGAAATGTTTGTGCTTCTCAGTCCTAAGCTGCAAACTATTAAAAGTCTGGCCAAAGGCTTTCAAATCATCAAGGACTCTGAGACTTGTTTCTTGGCCCAATATGAGACGCCCCAGTTTCTGATCTACTTTTGCATGGATCCCCAAATCTGTTTTTCCCTTCCTTTCCCCTATTCAAGTTTTGAAATCTTACTAATCCAGGGTCCCACTTTGGAATCTTGAATCTGTTAAAGTGTTGGTCTCTGGACTCTTGTCTGCAACCAGACATAATTCGATTCAAGTGGCATCTTTGGAAGACTCAATTCCCAGGGGATGATGAATCCCTTCCATCACATCTGGGAGCCTCCATTTATTTATTAATGATGTGTGAAAATTAGTACTATTGATTCTGTGGCATCGCAATTGCTCAGCCAATGTGATGCCAGGGAATAGAAAAGCCCTCTTAAAAAGAAGTCATGCTTTGTCTGACTTCCACACGTTTACATATTTTATGCTGAACATTGAATACACATAAATTAAAAAGGATTGAAAAGACAAGAAAGATTGCAGAACTGGTTGTTTTTAGTTAACGTTGTATTAACTGCTGCCTTTCTTGCCAACTCTAGTTTTTAAAATAAGAGATACGCGATGTTCTATAGGATAGTAACAGAGAATGGGAGCTTTGAAGTCAGGCGAACTGAGTTCAAACCAGCTCTGTCCCTTGGTAGCTTTATCACTGTGGGAAGACTGTGAGGTTCTCCACCAGTTGTTTCATCTGTAAGATGGGATAATAATAGTAACGGGCACTTGGAAGATTGAATGAGACAATGCACGTAGCACATTTAGCACTGTGCATGGCACCCAGAGTGCTCAGTGAACAATGAATGAAGGTCATGATAAAAGATTCAAGTTCATCTGAAATATACAAGTGAAAGGGGGAAAGAGAACCATCATCACCATTTCCGTTTATTCATTCGGTGAACAGGTATCTAGTGCCTTCAAAATGCCAGGCAGGACACGATTGGACAGCACCCAACAGCATTCTGCAGAGATTATTCTGAGGTTAACAGGCACAGCTTTTCATTGCTGCCATTTATTTGCAAATTCTGGGTATTGATTGTCTATACACTGCCTTCCTCGTGGACTATGTGGGGAAAGGTTTTTGAACCCCTGGGAAGCCATCTAATATTTTCTTATTTGAGACAGATTCTGAGAAATAGCTCTCAAACACCTTTGACAGCACTTTCTGATTAGCGGTGAGTTTTTTTTTTTTTTAAACAGAGTTGGAAAATGTATAGTGACAATTCAGAGTGTTGAAATATATAAAAAGAAAGCTTTCAACCAAGTGTGATTAATTGAGGGAGACGAAAAGACAAGGTGTCTTTTTGAAAACAACAACAGCAACAACAACTCAGGGCTTTTAAACGACACAGTTATCTATGGTTGTGGTCATTTCTTCATCGATTGAATGCACCTTAAAGCATGATCAAGATTCTGGGGCAGGAGAAGTAGGGGAGAGGGTGGCCCAGTGGAGAGAGGATACCACAGGGGGAAATAACATCCTTATCAGTATTGAGGTAGAAATAAATGCACTGTGAGAAGGAGATTGAAATAGAGTGGAAAACCCAGGTGTCAATCTTTCCCTAAGCCCAGGGGGAGATGCCTGGTATTTAAAAGTCCAAGGACGTGTGCTGACTAGCAAGTAGATTATTAAGCTGGTCCATGTTTCAGACTTAATAAACAGCCTGATGACTGAAGTCATGTCAACGACTGGCGATCTATAGAAAAGATTCTTGGGGGAGGTTTTGTATTATTTTCATCTGTTGGATTAAATAGACTCATTTTATTATTTTGTTTTAGCATCCTTCCTTTTTTCTTATTATAAAAGTAACATCTGTGGGCTGGGAGTGTAGCTCAGTGGTTGAACACTTGCCTAGCCTGCATGAAGCCCCAGCCAGGTTTAATCCTAGCACAGAAAAAAAAAAAAAAAAACAAACACCCAAAATTACTATAAAATATTCAAACAAACAAAAACTACTATCAAAGATTCAGGTTCATCCGAAATATAAAAACACACGGTGAAAGATGACACTCATCACCACTCCCACGTATGCCTGGAGCAGACAGGTGTTGAGTGTCTTCAAAATGCCAGGTGGTGATCCAGGGGCTGGGGACGCTGGGGGCTCCAGGCCAGCAGCTCAGAGGAGGGTGCTTGTGTCGGGCCTGAGGACTCAACAGAGTCTCAGAGGGCGGAGAGGGAAGAGAAGGGCATCTCAGGTGAGCTGCCAGCATGGGGCAGGCGGGTAGAGGTTCCAAAGGCCAGAGTCCACGTACTGGGTTTTTTTTTTTTTCTTTGTTGTTTCTTTTCCTCTCGGCATAGAGAGATCTGGGTCTGTTGGCTTTCGCAGGAGTGTCTGGTGAACCACCGGCTCCCTGGATGAGCACGAGGGTTGGAGGCCAGTCCAGGTAGAGGCTCTCCTTTGGTGTCGCCTCTCAGAACACCTCTCAAGAGGTCCCTCCCCCGAAGAGGCCCAGCATCCGATCCATTCATTCCTTCGCTGCTTGCTTGCTGGACAGCCTCGAGCATTGCTAGGTGCTAGCTTCAGGGGTCCAGAGCCAGAGAAGGCCCAGACCCCACCCTAAGGAGTCTTTGACTGTGTTCCAGCCCACCCTGTGCTGCTGCCCAGCACTGTGATCTTGGGCAATCGGCCTAACATCCATAATGTTAGATCAGTGACCTCATCTGCAAAATGAGTAAAATGAGGATGGCAGAGCATGACTTATGGCCCCGAATAGCATTGATGCTGACCGTGTTCAGGTTCAGCTCCGTTTAGCTGTTAACATTTGTTAAGGAAGGGCCTCCTGGACTGGGCGGAAGGAGCAGGTGATCAAAGTGTGAGTGAGAGGTGGCCCTGTCATTGAAGAGCAGT